CAAGAACAAATGTAGGTACCTGATTTTGTACTTCAGGACTTGATCACGAGGGCACACTTTTTTAAAATAATGCGGTACACAAATAATTTATATAATAAATGGCAATATTCCATAAATTTGTCAATTTGGATTTCATGGTGTCTTTAATAGCCTACACTAACCGAAAAAACAAAGGTTATGTCTGAAATTGACAACTATACCCTTATATAGTGCACAATTTTAGAAAAGCCATCAATCCCACAATGGACCTCAATAATGAGTGTATAACCGATGTACAATAAACAACAAGCCACTACAGAATACCCATGCGCTGTGAGCATTGCACAAAATTAATTCCCTGCCTTTTGGCATTCATAATGGTCAGTGCCAACAGGGAGCCTTCGTGAGCCATGCCCCCTCTAAAAGAAAGGGCAACGAAACTGCGCTACTCGTTTGAGCAGCGTAGTGCTGACCGTTTTATCAACTGTTACCAATAATAGGCAGCGCAAGTTTAGAACAGGTTTAGGCCCTGTCCCAAATGGCACACTTCTTGTGCACTTGCAGTCTTGTGGACTTACAATGGCCACTGCATGCACGTGTCATTGGGTGACCCATTTGTCAATTTAGGTTTCAGAAGGGTGCATGCAAGCGCCCAATATGCAACCTCAATGTGCGTCATGAAATTGTGGATTCAGAGGAAGATCGCTAGGGCTTCTTCATTTCATGGTTCGTACAACCTTTTGCAAGTGAAATTCAAGCACTTTTCAAGATCTTTCAATGTTTCACAAAACTTTTTCCAGCGCTTCAAAGATCTAAATATTATCCAATTTAAATGTTATTTTCAATGTGATGACCCAAAACATTATTTGTTCATCTTTCAAAGATTGTCCCCATTTGTAAAACTAAAAGCTTCAAGATAGGAAAACTAACACTTGGTGCCAAACAAAATATGACATGAATTACCACTATAACCAGTAGATTGCAGCAGAGGAGCACTCAGGGCCATTGTTAGAGGGGTGAAAGGTGGAGACGATTCTAGGGGCCCATGGCTTTTGGGGGTCCCTGCAATTTCAACCGAGGGGGACCCATCAACAACCCTAGCTGGGCCCTGGGAGCACTTATCGGCTTATTTCCACACCCAATTTTTTTCCCACACGTTTTGCTTTTGAATTTATATTTAGACATACATTTACAAAATAGCTAGTGTCAACCATTACAAATAAATGTTTGGTAAAAAGGTTTCAATCTTTTTCCTAGCATGTCTGATAAAACAATCTGTATCTGCGTGTAGGTGGTAATCTTTTCATGGGTTCCTGATGTGGAAGTCTAATCGTCAACCACCCTTTCCCTACACGTGTTTCCTTTTTATGGAATCCCTACCCCCATTATATCCTACCCAAATGTCAAAACATTTATGAAATAATAAAAAGAGCTTTAAGAATGTGGTGAAAACAACGCAGGAGGCATCCTACGCAAGTCATTGCCTACTATGGTTGAATATGAACACCTACTTGTGAGGCCCAAAACAGTAAATGGCTGCAAATCTCTTACGTAACCCTTTATACAAGTGCAGTGTTTTCTTTTTTATTCTGCTCAAGGTAACTGGAGTGAGATGACCACAAGTATAAACACAAACATCTGCAGAAGACTAATGAAACGGCAATATTTCCGTTGGCTGCGAACAGACCCACTCTTTTTTTCTTCTCTGATTTCTTTCCATTTAGTTAAATCCTTTCAAGCCAATAGTCTCTCAAGTTCACGTTGAGATACAAGACACATATTGGACATTTAATACAATTGTTGACCTATATCCTTTTGTCGAAAACTAATGTTATATTGTTGCAGGAGTTTCCCAATGTTGGTCTTCGAGCAGACAGCTTCATCCGAGGAGCTCACCCTACAAACAAACACCCTCCCCCATGCTAAACTAGATCTAAACCGCATCCTCCTGCGCATGCGCAGTCTGTGCTATAAAACCAACCACTTGCAGTTGAAGAGCTATGCCACACAGAGTGGAGAAACAGCGAGACAAAGCTGAAAACTGTGATGTGACGCGAGTACAGTGCATCGAATATGCATTGTAAAAGGAAAACGAAACTAAAGAGATAGATAAATCGAGCTGTTATATTGCACAGGATTGCCTACGCCAGTCAAATCATCATCAGGTTTTAACTTTCGGGACATTCAGAGATTTTAGGTGGATATTAAGACGGGCTGCATTCAACCAATTCTGGAGCTAGGGTATTATTTCAGTGTCGATATCGTTCATTTTGTTATCCTTTCAAAATGGCGATTTTTCTCCGCTCTTCCCCCTCCCTGGCCTTCCTGAATAGAATGAATGACATTGCCCTTGACCAATAATACGCTCATTGTTCTGTTTTCTCGGCGTTGATTGGCTACCGATGACATCATCTGAATTCCGTAAGTGGGCGGGCACTGAGCTGTGAGGGGAGAGCGGCGCGCCCGGAGATCCGACCGTGTTTGTGGACGACAGTAGGGTGCCATTAACTCCAAACCTCATCAACCATTTGATTTACTTAAATTTCAATGGATCTCTGAAACACGGCGTTATAGAAGAGCCCTTCCACGGAGTTGGCAATAAACATTATTCGTTCGTTTCTCGTCACAAAATCGCAAGAAGATGGCGTTCGCAGCACTGCACAAAGCCCACACTGGGCGGGGTCACGGACGGTCTTTCCAGAATATATCATTGCCGAAAAGTGTACGTCATCAGTCGTGTGTTTTAAAATAAACGCTGACGAATAAAACTCGTTAATGGGCCTTTGTCGTCGCAAACACCGGAATATTGGAAAGTAATGTTAGCTGGTTTGATTTGGGAGTTCCGCGGTTCGTTTTAAAGAATCTATTATAAACGATTCAGTGATTCTTTCTTTTGCGTCATGACGTAATTACGTGGTCCCTTGCAGCATGATGTGACAAAGTATGTTATTAATCTAAATTAATTTCTCAAAGGCTTATGTAGATATTGATGTTTATATCCAAGCCTGTGTGTTTTGGGGGGGATTTCCGCGATTCTAAAAGGTAGAGCGCGCCTGCTGGACTTGATCAGAAGCCAGGCCATCGTCTGTTACGTCATAATCACGGACGCATATGAGCTGCTGCTGCAACAAAAGAATTGAGCTGCGGGAGCGCGCATTTCCTGTTTCGGTGCTGCTCAGTACTCAGGAAACGAATGCAGAAAACATCCCGGCCGAGGTTTCACATCGTTGGTGTGCGATGCCATAATATCTGCATGAGTAATCTGTTTCTTGCGTTAAGATTGATGTTTGGTAACGTCGTGGCTTTGAGCTGGTCGCTTTTTTCATTGATTGTGTTTCCATAGCCGCCATGTTGTCGATGATCCCACGCCTCCTCTGCTCTAGTCTGTGGATGATGATGATTAGTAAATGGCGTATTTGAGCATTTTCTGTACTGCATAGTGTGTAGTTGTTTTTGTGTATTGGTTCCCTCAAGAAAGTAAAGCTCAAATCGCCTGTTATAGAATGCAATTTCGTTACTTGCATTATTTTTAACCATTTTTTTTTGTCTAATACATGATTATGGACACAAGACAAGAGAGGTGAAATTGATTCAAACAATGTGTAATAAGTATATACTACCAACACATGAATACACTGTATACTATGTCTTAGAAACTGATACTTCTTCCAGGACTGGTGTATAACAGCCAACTTGCCAAAACATCTCGCAGCTTTAAAATGAAATGTTATTATGATGGGTGGTAAATCGCAATGGTTTTCAATCAGGGGTCTGGGTCCCAAGGGGTCTACAAGATGAATCGGTTACACTTTATTTTAAGGTGTCCGTGTTACAGTGTAATTATACATTTAAGTACTGAGTAATAATAATTTATTAAATGTATTTACTATAGGGTTAGGGGTTGGGATAGTTGCATGTAATTATGCGTAATTTATAGTTATTACTACAGTAGATACATCTAACGTGTAACAAGGGCACATTAAAATAAAGTGTTGCAGATGACTTAAATAGTTTAAAAGTTATAATGAAATAACCAAACTTAATTAACCCTATAAAGCCATTTGTATCATTTAATACGATGCATTTCTAAGGCCTCAAATGATTGGCATGATCCAAACCTTGCTTTAAAAAATCCTTTGTACACAATCTTCTACATGCCATCTGCTGTCTAATTGATAGTTCATACTTTTTGTATCAAGTAAAAGGTCCTTTAGCATAAATGCTTACCTTCAGTCAGGTTGTGGTACACATGTCTTTTTGCTGTGATTTTTTATAAAGTTAACAAATTGCTTTTATTGTTAGTACCATTTCAAGACGAACATTTACTAGATTGAAGCAACTTATTTTCTTATCCACAGGCTACATTATTATTATTTAGAAAAATAATGTTAGTGGCAATAATTCTACAATATATTTAGGCTTACGATACTTTTGGGAAACACAGCCTTGGACAATGGATGGCCTTGGTGTTGAAAACCACAGAGGATGTTCTATTAAGTCAGAAAATAATCATTTTGTTTAGTTTTATTGCTGTTTGTGCCAATAAAGTACAATTTCACAGATAATTATCACTTGTCTCCTTTTTCTATTTTCAGAGACTGAATTAATGATGATTTCCTAATGATTGTTTCTTTAAATGCATACAATAAAAAAAATCTGAACCTTTTTCTGTATTTGCCATAAAATAAATTATAAAAAAGGGGGCTACTCAAGAAGCAGAGTCTCTCTTATTACAGAATCTAACAAAATGGAAAGGAAACATACAATAAATAATAAAATATAGTTTTTCAGTGTAATAAATGTAGGCCCATAAATAAATGACCCAAGGAAGTAGATATATTTAAATTGTTGACAGAAAAATATATATTTTCGTTCATTTCTGTAAGAAATGAACGAAAGACGCATGAATATTGTGATCTATATTTATACGATCTTTTCTCAGCGGGTATCTGGCGCCCTCTAGCACATAGACAGCTATTGCATTGAAACGCCTTCTTTTAAGTGACCAATCACAGCGCTCGTTATTAGCAGGCCAAAGAAACAGCCGCTGTAAAGGTGACATTTCTCCGTCTGATCACTGTAGTCAATTCGATTAATAATCGTTGTAAAAACACAGAGAGCTGGCACAGGCATAAGCATGTCTTCTCTCGGGAGGACGGCGGGTGTCCTCCGAAGCGGCCTGCAGCTCTTCAGGCGTGGACCTCAGCAGATGACCCTCAGAAAGTGAGTGTTTATCATCAGAAGGCTAACTGGCTAAACGTGCTCCAGTAAAGTGTATTGTGTGTCGTGGAACGTCTAAACGATACTTTAGAAACGGGATAACGGTAGTAATTTAGTTTAAATACACGACCTTTGTCAGGTTTTTCAGAGATTGCTGGAATCTGGATATAAATAGAGTATAGTGAGGAGGATAGCCTTAAATAAAAGTAGGAACTCTCTGGTCGTATGATGGTACAGTGATGGTATCAAATGGTAATAACGTTACCATGGCGGTGAATGATTCACATTTTTATTTACAATACTATTTACCGTGGTACTCCAAGGTACAAGGCCAAAAAACACGGTAATAACCTTCATTTCTTAAAACTACGGTATTAATATATTATATATACATATGAATTCGTCCAGCTTTCAAGTTTATCACTGACTGCATGCATCATTGTTTGTAATACTGGGGTTGGCATGAGTACCATTAGCCATTACATTTTGTTTTATACTTACTGTAACTTAGATGTTTCTGTGTGTTTTAGGGCAGGAGGCGGCCCTCATATTGAACCCCAGTACAGACAACCTCCTCAGATCACCAAGAACCAGAAGTTCCAGGCAGAGCTGATCAGCGGTGCCATGTGGTTCTGGATCCTGTGGCACACCTGGCACGACCCGGACGCCATCCTGGTGAGCGGAAACTGCATCAACACATGATGAGATCAAATGCCTCTGTTCTTAGGCATAATAAACAGACCACCAGCCATTTAACTAAATGTCACTTTAGGGTCATTTCCCATGGCCGGACACTTCAGCATGGACCGATGAGGAGCTGGGAATCCCACCTGATGATGAAGAGTAGACTTGCCCTCAACACCCCAATGTACACATATGTATTCAAGTCATTAACATGCTGAGGAAATTGCTCATTTCTTACCTGGTGTGTTGCCACAGCATGCATGACTAATTTTTCTCTTCTCTGCTTTGCAGATGTGCAACAGATGTGATGGCAAACCCACACATTTTCTGTAGAGGAAACTGAAAGTTCCTGTTATGTGTATGGACTTATTATCAAGTCTAATTGTAAAAGATAGGATTAAATAAATAAAAACCATCGACTCTTGAGTTTGTCAATAGAACAGTGTTTTATCACTTAACACTTAGTAAAGGGAAGGGGAAAACAGTGTGATCTACAAAACATTTCCCTCATCTTATATATACATTGCATTGGAGAAAGTCCATCACATCCAAAACTTTTCAAAGAGAACTATTGAAGAGAAGGAACAGAACACAGCATTTGAAAACACAGTGACATTAAGTCTATACCACAGTTGAGTATGGAAATGAATGCTAGAGCTTAATAAATACTGTACAATTAATGCGTCAAAGCAATGGAAACCTGTCTGAAGAACAGCTCGATTGATCAAATATGAAGGATATGAGCTGTTTTCCTCATAATGCTGACATTTTCAAAGGGTGTCTTGTCTACGTGACGGTTATTGAGTGGGAACAGAGGAACATTTTATCATAAAACACTTGCGGATGAGCAAAACTCAAAACCGTAACAAAGCCTGAGTTTTAGCAGTTATCCGACTCAAGTCATGTAGATCCAAAATAGTGCATTTGCTTTCTGAACCAACAGACTTCTTACACAACAGTCAAGAATAGCTGATCAAAATCTGTTGGTGCTGTTCTATCCTCACAAAGTCTTACAAACTCATTTTTATATACTTTACAGTGGAACACAATTCTGTTCAGAATCTGGGTTTTACATTTACCAGACGCAAAATAAATGGGAATATATACATTTGTTGGCAAGTTTGTGGGAAAGAGTACAAAACGCGATTATATGACGGTGCTGGTGATGAATTCAAAGATGTCACCTGTTTGATGTTCCCTGAGAAAACGTTTCATAGCCTCTCTAAGAAATTCACACAAGCACCACCATTTTTTTTGTTTGTTCCCGCTGAAATTCTTTTGTCCCGCTTCAACAGGCCGCAAAGACAACATAAAGCATCAATATTCAAACAAAGTCAACTTGCGCTAACATTTCAGAGGTAAATTTAACAGGTAAGGTCATTCAAATTATTATTATTTAAATGTGTTAACTACAAAACCCATAAAGCTGAACCTAAACAAAAGCTCATTACTCTTGAATTGGTAACATTCGAAATTATACTCGTATTTACACAACTATTCAATGCAAAGGAAAAACGGGAAACTCAGAATGCAATATAAATCCTTATATCTTTGAAATTAATAAATAAGTTATCCAGTCAAAAAAAAACATTTTAAAACAAACAAATAGATCAAATTATGCAGAATGAGCTAAAGATCATTGTCAATCACGTGACAAGCATATTTAGTCCTCGCAAACTACATCACATACAGTATTTCAGGGGCAGCGCTCCAGGATGCAGTACCTCTCTGCGGCCACTGGGTTGTGACAGAGGCGAATAAATGTGTGACAATACCTATACATGTACGATTTTCTCAATTTTGCCAGTGTAAAATGACTATTCCGAGTTTCACTACCTTTCGGGATATTTAAAAATAAAATAAAAAACGAACCAAAAAGGTTGACACAATCAGATGCACTTGCAATACAAGGATTGCAAACACAGACTTCTGTATGTGCATTTGTCAGCTTATTTTTCTCTTTTTTAAATGTTGTTTTTACAAACTAAGGTACAAAAAACAGAATATTAATTTAATGAACGCATTTAAAACCAATAAAAAGGATTAACACTGTCAAATCAAGGGAAAGTCATATAGTTGTATCTTTGACACTCTTTGATTTCATTTGATGGTTCCACCATGAGAGGACTTCCTGCGCATCCTAAAAGTGCGGCCCACTAAATCATCAATACATCACTCACTGCTGTACAATTATTGCTTAAAGGGGCAGAGGGGGTTGGGAAAGGGTTTATAAACGATCAGCACCATTTCAAAAGCTCATACTCCAGCCTGAGACAATCAAAAGGAGAGAGAAATAGGCAGATTGATAATGACTTGAGGGGAATCCGAGGATCAATGGAACAGTCCCAGTGCCTGCGAGCGCCTGGACACTCATGCTACAGATGTGAGAAGAGGTAGGGTGGGGGAGAGGAGAGGCCTCAGCCCGTGATACACATTTGCCTGTAGGAACACGCGCTGCTCTCTGGCATCCGACCATGTGTTTCTGTGCTTCCTCTTGAAACTTTTGGCTGTTAATGTTTAAATGTTGTCCAAGGTAAAGCAGTTTCCCTGCGTTGATGGATAATGTGTTGTGTATTTCGTGCGATTGGTGGAAAAGGTGAGCCATTAAACATACCCTGTCACCTAAACATGCACAGTGAGTAAGAGAACTGTGTGTGTGTGTGTGTGTGTGTGATGATAATCCCAGCGTATAAAGAAAAGCAGCTGTGTTGATTTATTACACATAGTCTCATTCTTTCCTCCATCATGCTACAGGAATAAGCCTTTATGGCGACTCATTTTCAATATCTTCCCAAGCCTCTGTTTAGCTGTCGCCTCTCCTTTCTTAGGACGCTTTCCTGCAATACAACCACAAAAACATGACATAAGTCGATACAAAAAGTTTAGCATGTTCTTTAAAGTATAATTGTTGCAAACATAATTGTTACCCCAAAAATACACATTTTTGGAGTGATCTCCCACATGGGTTTTATGGGTAAACGACATAGGATCAATGACAGGAAAAATACATAAACAAAATAAAGGAAAATCCTTTAAAAATGTAGTATAATGCACTTTATACCATGTTCAAGAAAGGTTTTGACAAATTTAATCACTCTAAAAATGTCATGTAACCTGAATAAATGTGTACACTATTTAAAAAATATATATATATATATATATTTTTCACTATTAAATCTTATTTTTGGTTTAAGGCAAAAAAAAGTTAATACAATTTTCAATTTACACATGCAAAAAAAATGGTTAGGACAAACAATTCTCAAAAAAAAAAAAAAAAAAAAAAAAAAAAAAAAACATTTTAAGGTAAAAATAGTTTTAAAGTATTCAAATTACATATTTTTCCAGGAAAAAATAGTTTCAACAAATATAATTAAAAAAAAAAACTAAAAATAATTGTATATATTTTTCAAGGTAAAAAAAAAAAGTTAAACTCATTTACATATTTTTCAAGAAAAAAAGTTTCAGCAATTTTCAAAAAAAAAAAGTTCTACATAATTTAAGGTTAAAAAAAAGTAGTTGTAACAAATACATTTCAAATTTTTCATTTACAAATTTAAAGGAGCTGTATGTAAGATTGTGGCCAAAACTGGTGCTGCAATCACTTTCAAATTACTGTAGAGCAGTGTATCCCCCCCCCCTCCCCCCTGACTCAAGGTTGCCAGATAGGCTGCAGGATCCAGCAGGAAAGTAGGCTGCTACAAGGAGCTTTCAACTAGAGCAGAGCTGGCAACCCGGATGCCGAAACACTACTGACTTCGTGATTGGTAGATAGGTGGAGGGTGGGGCTTCAGGCCAAAACACAAGATGACAACATCAACATCAGTTGAGGGCTGCAACTTCACTTTTTAAATGACAATATCGTGGCCATACTATTGTTGTCAGTGATTTAAGTATTTGAAATGAACATGATTTATTAATGTCTAGAGACACATAAGGGCCATTTTATGATCAATTGAAATACATTTCTTACATACAGCTCCTTTAAGGAAAAATGTATTTTTAACAAACAAAATTCAATTTTTTGTTTTCTACATTTTCATTCACATTTTTTATTTTGAAAAATGAAGTTTTAGCTTATTTTCAAAATTGATTCATGCGTTTATTTTATTTTATGTGCAAATATAAACAGATTACACCACATGACATTTTACCTTGCCTTGTCATTAAAAGGTCAAATTACTGACTACTTATGGAAAAACAGTCATGAGGGTCAGCATGGGTTCTCTCTCTCTCTCTCTCTATTTTTTTTTCTGCATGTTGGTTGCACCACATGACCTGACTTGGCAAACAAAAGTTTGACTTTTTCTAAAAAACAATACAAATATTACTACTGTTATTTCTTTTAGTGTAAGAAACAGCTCACCTTTAGTGGCCTGGTTGCTGATGGGCGTGGGGTTGGGGGCATGTCTTTTGGAGGGGTGGAGCGGAGGAGAAAGTGAGCTCTCTCTATAGGAATATTCCTCCCCGAGACTCCCATCTTCTCCCTCTGGGCTGCGGGGCGCTGAACAGGGTTCACTGCTGTCCCACATATCACTGCTGCTGCTGCTGCTGCTGTTGCTGTTACCCTGACTGGTCCACCAATCGACCCCTTCTGTTGCCTGCTGACACAGCAGCCCCGCCATGGACAGCATGCCCTGAATGGCACTGTCTGTTCTCGGTGAGGTAGGACGTTCTCTGTGTACAAGTAGTTCTCAATTTTAGCACAAAAAGAGAAAAATGACTTAAATAGCTTTTAAAATGTGCCGGTTTTCTCAGGTGTGTGTGAAATGAAGGGCAGTCATACCGTTTTAACGCTTGCTTTTGGTGGCCGCTCAGATGCTCCACAAAACTCCCCGAGTCTCTCTTGCTCGCTCCATCCTCTTCCTCAGAACTCCCTGACTCTGAGGAGCGTTTCTGTTTAGAGAAAGGGTGACACACAGGAATAAGATGGCAGAACATCATTTTAAAGGGGTCATGAACTCCATTTAAATTGTTCTTTGAGGTCCACTTATAATACTAGCAATATTTTTACATCATCAACGAACAAACGAAGTGGACACCGGAACTTCCTTAAATATAAAGATCATTCACACTTCCTAATGTTATAATCACAAGGAAGGCAATGGAACGACTGTGTTTTGGCACTGAAAAACATCTTGTAATCCTCAGAGGAATCTCTATTGTCCTGTGTTCGTCTCTCTCAAATTTACTACTACATCATACCCGTGAATCGGTGGGCGGAGCTAAAGACGCAATGATGTAGAAGTAGACATTGATCTTCTGTAGATGCGGTCTTTCGTCGCACTATGACGTCATAATGTGACGAAATCCGAAACGAGTTGTTTTGGGAGCTTGGTTTTAATAAAAGCTGTTTTTGAGTTCTGAAACTTACAAGATATTTGTATAGTACAATGACCCCACATGTCAATAGACCAAGGAAAATGTGATTTCTCAATTCATGACCCCTTTAAGCCATTTAACCAAAAATATGTGTTCAGCTCGTGGAGAGTTGAATCGACATCAACAGTACCTCGGCACAAACCTCCGCCTCTGACTCCGAGTCACTGTCTGAAGATGCTACACGTGGCGACTCTGTCTGCACAGTTAGACCTGACAAAATAAGATGTTGGTCAAACAAATATCATGACAGAAAAAAAATATGCTTTTGTCTTTTCACAGACTGGATTCAAGCTTATATCCACCTAATTTTTAACATTAGAGCAGGTGCGGCCATTTTTAACTTCAGGTATTTTTAGCTGTGCAAAACAGCTGCTTGCTTAATACTGTTTTGTACTGTAGCACACTTTACTGCACTTTGTTGTTGTTATTTCCTTTTAGCAGCTAATGAATCAGAAGTCTCACACATTCACAGAAAATAGCTTACATCCACGTTGCAAAATAAGGTGTATAGTCAGTCTGGATAGCAAAAGCCGAGCTGTGACAACCTCTACAGCTGCAAGCGACTCACCATGATTGAGTGGTTTCTTGATGGTGCAGTGTACTCCAAATTCGTCCTCTCGCTTTTCTTTTTTCACTTCTTCTTGTGGGCACATTGGCATTCTTTCCAATTTGATCCTGTGTTGATGGAACTGCAACATTTCCACTCCATTGACTTTGGCTGTCACATTACTGATAGATAACCTCTCCCTGTGAGTAAGGAGGACCAAAACAGAAAACTTTATTCATTCAATTAATATATTACATTAATAAATGAAACATAAATATTTTTATAAGTTATAATTAAACATACACTACCATTCAAAAGGTGGGGTTTTTAAAACCTTTTAAAATGTTTTTTTTTTAAGTCTCTCAGCTCAACAAGGCTGTATTTATTTGATAATACAGCAAACAGTAATATTGTGAAATATTATTACAATTTCAAATAACTGTTTTCTATTATAATATATTTTCGAATGTAATTTATTCCTGTGGAGTAATGATGCTGAAAATTCAGCTTTACCATCAGTCTTCAGAGTCACATGATCCTTAAGAAATCATTCTAATATGCTGATTTGCTGCTTAAGAAACATTTATTATTATAAACAAAGTTGAAAACAGTTGTGCTGCTTAATATTTTTATGGAAACCACAATAATAATAAAAAACAAATTCTTTTCTTTACTTTTTCAATTTAGTACATCCTTGCTAAATAAAAGTATTAATATCTTCTTAAAAAACTTTTTTGACCCCCGACTTTAGTTCAGTAGTTTATAATATTTTATATATTAATACTACCACCACTACTACTACTAATGATGATAATAAAAGCAGATAAAACTATTATCAATATAAAAATATCAAACCATTCCATGTCAAGAATTAAAGAGGAATCTCAATGTCACTATTCTCACTACTAATTTTGGTACGTCACATTAAATAAGTTAAATAATAAGTTAAATAAAAACAAAGGCATGTAGCCATTCAATTATTTCTTAAATATGTATTTTGCTTCAAACTAAATATTTAAGTAAACAGTAATAAATACAAAATGAATAATATTTTCTTTTTTCTTATAATATCTAATAATGTCCTTTAATTACTAAAGTTTCACCATTAATCTTACTGTGCATTGACTGGGATTATTATACATCTCTGGGTCACTCATAATAATGAAAACTGGTGCCTAACAGAACACAAAAAGAGAAGCTACCGAGACCCTCACCTCATAATTTTGCCATTACATAGCACCAGGTGCAGGGCATTATCATGACTTCCATCAACAGCTACTGCAGACACTTTCTTAAACTTGCCATTCACTTTGGAGCTGAAGGTTGGGTCCTGTTACACGAAACGAGAGATGTTTTTACTGGAAATAGAATAATTGCATGCTGGTAGAGCAGTGAACCTATCTAATATCAAGGTGAAAATGCCCTCTAAAACCATTTGATAGCATTGCATTACAGTCATATGATAAGGAATAATGAAGGCTAATGTTGCCGTAGAGAACGGATACGAAATTTGAGCTTCATGCTGCAGTGCATTATGGGAAGAAAAAAAATCTGACTAGCTCACCTCCACAAGCGGTCCGACCTCCAGTCTCTTTAATACCTCCAGCGTGTGAAGCTCCAGGATGTCCAAGTTAGAGGGCAGTTTGCGGCTGTGGTGATGATGATGATGGTGGTGGTGTCGATGATGATGGTCTCGTAGCCTGCGAGCTGCACGCCGTGCCTGATATCCTTTCTCCAGTGCGGAGCGTGTTAAAGGGCACTCAGCACCTTCCTGAGATTTTCCAGCTTTATTCGAATCATCCTGTTTAAGAAAATAACACAGCAAATCACTTCAACTTGGAGCCATTTTAGGTTATGTAGAAACACTCATAAAAATTAGCATATATTTTAGTTACAAATTTAAAAGGATTTAAAAAAAAAAGAATTAACATTAATTTGATTTAATTTAAGTAAAGGCTTTGTAAGAATTAAAAATTAACTTAATCTTTTAAATTTAATGAAGTTTAAATGAATTAGTAAACTTGCTTTAGTTGAACATAAATTGTATTTACTCCAAGATGTGTAAGAATTAATATTTAATTTAATTTAAAGTCCAGGCTGTGTAAACATTTATATTAATTTAAGATTTTAAATTGTTTAATACAAATTTATTGTAAATTTGATTCAGTTGAACAATTTTAATTTACTCCAAGCTGTGTAAGAATTACAATTGAATTTAATATTTTTTTTTATTTAATTTAATGTCCAGGATGTGTAAAATATATTTTCAATTTACTCCAAGCTGTGTAAGAATTCATATTTAATTTAATTTATTTTAATTTAAAGTGCAGACTGTGTAAGTGTAATAAGTTAAGCTATTAAATTAAAATGAATACTAATTGTACATTTGCTATATAGTTTAATATAAATTTATAAATGATTTACTCCAATGTGTAAGATTTAATATCAATTTGTTATTTTATTTCATATAATTTGATTTAGTTAAGTTTAATTTAGTTTATTTTGATTGAATTGGATTTATTTTAAGTAGAATATTGGCAAGACAAAGGAATTGTTCCCATAAAGTTGCAAAGTGAAGATCAAAACAAAAGGCACCAAATATCTCTTACTGTCACAACACCTGTGAACTACAGTCTAAACCCCCCATTCAAAACCACAGGACCTCCTCGAGCTCGTCTTACCTCCAGGTGGCGGATCTCCTTGGTCAGAGCTTTGATAAGATGGCTTGGCCTGATATGGTCTGGAACCTCACTGTTAGGTTGAGTCAACTGTGGAGGAAACACACAGAGAAAATAACCATGTAGAACAGCCACAGGAGTTTCACTAGAAAAATAATGGCAGTAAAAGCGGAAGTTCTCTTGCCTCCCTCCTCAGCCATGTCTTCAGTGATGAGATTAAAGCTTTCACCCCGTCCACTAGATAATCCTGAGCTTGACAATTATCCTCCCGCAGCTCTGAAAACACAAACGTTTCAATCTCCACTCCATCAAGAAGCTACATCCGCAACTATTAAGTGGAATGTTGATGTAAGGAATAACTGAATATATATATATATATATATATATCACAGTTCTCTGATGTTGGTTAATAGTCACATGACGGTTTAAACAAACGAAATCTGTTTTGAGCAAATGTCTTATTTTCATTTACCCTGGACTAAAGCACTGCAGGAGTTGTCCTGTCCCACTCACCTTTAAGGGTCTCCAGAAGGTTTTTGGCCACATACCAGCAGATGGCCTCAAAGTATGGGAACTTAAAGAGATCTGGAGTCTTCAGTCTGCGTTCCATCTCATAACACCTGAAATGAAGTTGGGGAGGTATATCAGTTCCAGTAGGAATATCCGTTTAGAAACCTGAACTAACTATAGTGACAAGTCAAGTCAAGTCAAGTCACATTTATTTATATAGCGCTTTTCACAATACAGATTGCATCAAAGCAGCTTCACAGTGATAACATGAAAGTAGTACAACACAGTTCAATAATATTGTTGAATATTAAATATCCCCAACTAAGCAAGCCAAAAGCAAGGCGACAGTGACAGGAAAAGCATAGACCGTATAGAAAAGCTTAATCAAAAGGAGAAATATTGAGGAATAAATGCAGGGTTTTTACCTGAGCTGCATGTCTATGTTTAAGTTATGCAAGAAATTCCCACCAAACGCCATGGAGTCCTGAGAAGTGAGCACTGCATGGATCCAACCTGTAGAGGGCAACGGAGATCAACGTTCAGGCCTCAACAAAGATTGTGCTATGCTGACCTAATTCCCTTTCACAAGCCCTACAATAATTCTTTCATACATTCACTTTTTTAATGATGTCTCTGTTTATTTGTCATATGCATATTATTTCCTTTAAACATTAGCTTAAACCACCTAAACATTTAGCCTTTTTTTGTAAAGACAGCAGCAAAACAGTGTACACACAATTCACATCAGTAACCAGTGTGTGATACACACAAACAAATACACATCAGCAAAAGCTAAATATAGCGTAATCTCACACCCACACCTCTCTGCCACTGACAGAAATATCAGTTTTATCTCTCCGTCTGGCTGGATGTGTATTGGCCGTCGTGTGCAGACATGCTGCTGAACAAGAGGGGGATTTCTGCCTCGTCATCCGTGACGTTCTGCTCGAGGAGGGAAACCCACATGCTCGCTTTCACACTCCTCAAACACACATGCTGCCTGTGATAATGAATCCTTCCGAGTTACGTCTACTACCTCCGCACTGGTTAAAGACCATTTATAGAACTTTAAATGTATGCCGAATTAAAGCACCTCTCATGGGTGATTAAAATAACATTCAGACACTTTTCATTCTTTCCATTCGGTGAGATGCACGTGAATTGCATCACAGCCCTTCGGAGTGTTTTCATTCTGTTTACCACGTTGCTCAGCGAAGACCGTTGCCCAACAATCCCACTGGAACAAGGGTCATCAGTGTTGGACGCCGATCCACATTTTCCTGGCAGGAGTCCTGGGAAACCGCCTGATATTGCTTTCGCCTTGCCGTACCGTGTATGTGTTTTTATATACGATAGCGCACGTCCTATTTTTTTCTCTTGTTGTGGGGTCATACAAGGATTAAAAAGGCAAGCTGTTATTTAAGTAAATGGCAACTGTCACTAATAAAGGAAAAATCCTTTAAAAATCTAGTTAGTTAGGCTCTTAGCAATGTACACTTTGTATTCCTATTGGTTATTATGGGTTTGAAACATATACAATTTTTTTTTTTTTTAGAAAAGTTTAAATTAATGACTCTAATAATGTCAAGTAAAAATTTTTTTTTCCCCTTTACCTCTTGAACACGTGAGTGTACACATCTTAATTATTATTTTCAAACATGTTAATTTTGTTTTTACAACAAATATCGTGAATTATTCATTTATAAATATTATAGTTTTTGGGGAGTCACTACATGACAATTTACAAACTGAACTACACTTTGCATGTTACAAATGATCTGATATTTTAAGAGACACATTGAGCTTGACAGTTAGTCACGAGTGTCTGAGTGTCTTCTCTATTAAACCATTTCTTGTTGCATCACATGACTTATGATGATGGTAATAAAAGTTTATGGGAAACAACTTGAGACTTTAAGATTTTCATTATTTTAATTATGCTTGTTTTTTTCATTTTGATATCATTACCATTGTACCAACCTTACATTTTTAACATGAAAAAAAACAAACATTTAAATATAATTTAATAAAATATATTAAATTAATATATTATACAAATGAATATAATATTAATTTAATTTATAATTATTATATTTATTTTTAATAAATGTTAATTGGAATTTTGATAAATAAATAATAGATCAATTAGAAATAATCATTATTTACCCATTTGTTCTGTTGCATCATCAACAGAAACTCCAGAAGGAACTGATATAAGGACAACAGAGAGGATAATTGGTGTGCACCTGTCCCAACTTCAGGACTACGGGCATCATGACATCATCACAGAGCCCTCTCACCCCGGCCACAGCCTGTTTGCACTTACAGATCTCTGTGCACTAGAACATCTAGACATAAAAAAAGTTCTTTCCTCAGGCTATCTCCACCTTAAACAGTTAGGACACCAATTACTACCTGTTTTTATAATTCATAAATCAGTATGGTGTGTATGCCACCTGCGAGTTAGGCAATAAATAGATCCTTACTATGTAAAATACATATTTTTATTAATACAGTTGTATATACAGTACATAAATGCACACATCTGTACACAAGTCTTCTGATCTATATGTATATTACTTTTTTTGAATGTATAATTTTTTATATCTATTTTCTTAATCTTACTTTTTGAAATGTTCTTTCTATCCTCTTGTGTTATATATGCATGTATGGATGTATGCATGTATGCACTCAGATCTCCTGGAAACCACAACAAATTCCTTGTGTTTGCGCACATTGGCGAATAAAGCTTATTCTGATTATAATAATGTAAACAGGTGGGTGGGCATAATCTTTTAAATGGACACAAAAAGGGATTCAGAAGTTTGCCTAATTCTGTGTTCTCACCGGTGGGGAGGAAGATGGTAGTTCCCTGCTTCACCACACATTTGTAACACTTGTCGACTTTTTCCCCAAAGAATACTTCGCTCTGATTGGGTGATGAGCTCCAGGACTCATATAGTGCAAGGTTAGCCTTAGTCGGCTTGATCAAGTAGAAAATCTTCTCTCCCTGCGCACACAAACAAAAAAATTACCAGCATTTCATTGGAACTGCTTATCAGCTCTTGTAGAACTGTAAAATCACATGACTTGAGCGCCATTAATTATTCATGAATAGGGGTGGGCGATATGTCTGAAATTTTATATGATGATATGAGTAATGTTATTTCCCGTTAAAAGATATACAATAGTCAACATTTGAAGTGGATCAAAAAAAGTTCAAAGTTGTCCTAAGAAAAGAATGGGTATTGTTCAAAATTCATGTAATTCAACTTTGATGAAGGTTTTGGATCCACTTCAAATGGTGACTACTATATTACGATAAAGTTATTTTTGCTTTAAATTAAGTTATATCAACATTTTTGATACCATTGAAATCTCATAAATCTCACCACCAATTTCAATATCACAAAAAACGAATCCTAGGCTAACTAACATAAGTTAAAAGAGCTGTCAAGCATCAAAAAGGTCTCAGTTCATACCCAAAGAACATGATACCACACTGAAGTTCCTCCAAAGTCGATGTGGAAGTCTGTGTAACTGTTTTTCATTCCCATGAGACAATACTTTTGCACAAATGGTTTGGGGAAGAACGAGTCGTCAGGCCAGTAGTTCTCCACCCACGACATATTCTGCGCTATCTCAGGAACCTCCACCAAATCAGACATCCTAAAATTGAGCAGTAAACAAAAATCAGATCTCAAACAAGCACTTATACATGCTAAACGTTAGCTGAATTGAGGTAAATCATAAAGTAGCTACATAATTGTATATCAGGCCCCAAAAACAACCTTTCTTTAAAAACAAAGGATATTTGGATTTGGATTGAATGCAACAACAATGTGACCTAAGTGTTAAAGTAACACTGTATGTTATCTTAACCAGTAGAATAAATTCATTTGCAGTGAAGTTATGTTGCATAGAAAGAAAAGTGACAGTTTCTCACACAGACGTACTTTGTGTCAGAGAACTCCAGGCTGATAACATTCAACACTTTGGGCCGTTCAGGTTGGTAGTAATACTTCACAAACTCTCCCAGCTTCAGCTTGCTGTCTGCCTGTCTTGCGACATCAATCACGTCAATGACTTTATTTGAACCTGGAAAAAGAAAGTGGATACTTTCAGATTTTTTTTATGCATAAATTCTTTGCTATATATTCTGTAATAAGGCTTTTGAGAGACACAGCTTCAGGGGCGCAAATCACAAAAGACAGCTGAGGACCGGAAGCGACGCTGGACAGCTGCTGGTGAAGTGACTGCAATCCCTCAACACACACACAGCTGGCCAGTGTCTGATGACAGGGAACAGCTGGAGGAACAGTCCCACAAACACACAATGTGAAAGGCTCAAGCCAAAGTTGGGAACAGGACATAACTACAAAACTCTGCACAGCTTTTGAACTAATGCTGATATTTTTATGGTCATCAACCATTCATTTCCAGCAATATTCATTTTTAAAATGTCTGTGTACATTTAAAGTTCACCCCAAAATTATTCATTTATTTATCATATTTAATTTGTTTCTCAACCTCAATATGCAAACTCCAAACTCACATATTTGAAGAATATTCATGCTTTTTCCACACAATGGAAGTAAACGGGCCAGTGTTATTTTAGTATTATTCATATACTATTATAGTATTTATTCATATTTTGAATTAGCTTTTATTAAGATATTTTCAGTTACATTTTAGTTTAAGTTTTAATAATTTTGTCATGTGCTTTTTCTTTTTTCCTTTTAATATTTCTATACAGCTTTATTTTTATTTCAGTTTGAGTAGTTTTAGAACTTCAATTTAAACTTATTTTAGTTCAAGACAACATTTATAATTTTCCGTTTAAGTTTTTTATTTAATATTTAGTTTAGTTTTTTATTTATACGTTTACTTGAATAGGGACAGTACAAAAAACACAATTACCAGTCAAAAGCTGGAAAATATGTATTGCACATCGAGATTATAGCTAAGTTTCAGTTTTAGTTAACAAAAACATTACTAATGGGCACTAGAGCAAAAACACCATACAACTAACAAAATTCTTCTGAAGCTGCAGGATAACTTTTCTTGAAAAACATATCGAAAATTATGCTTGACAGTCCCAGTCATTATTCATTTTCATTTTATTGAAAAGAGCAGCTTGCTTGAACATTCAGCCAAACATCATCTTTTATGTTCTACAAAAGAAAGTCATACAGGTTTGGAATGACATGAGTGTAATCGATGTACATTTTTTGGGGAGAACTACCCCTTTAACTTCCTTTTAAAATTGTTGCTCTGATGAATACTGTTGGATACAATTTGTTGAAGTCTGACAACAACAAACAATATTCTTTTTTTTTTTTTAAATTTGCCCATACATGGAAGAATGAGTGTTTCATAATGTGTGTGTATCTTTTCTAAGAAAAGAAAAGCAGGTGGAGGGAGAAAATGGAAGAAAAGACCAGGGAAGGTTAGTGGCCTTTTGTCTGTGTCCAACTGGCTAGGTAACATGATATGTTGAGTTCCCCCCTACCCTCTCCTCTCTCTCTTACACACACACAGAGACAGACACACACACACCTCTTCCCCTCGACACCTGTTACTATTAAAACAGTTCCAGCTTAAAGATCAGCGGCGTGCGAAAGAGGGAGCCATGTAACATAAGCATTGAGATAAAACATCCCTATTGGGAACCTGAGCTCAGACTGGCTGTGCTGTACAACAGCTTTGTAACTGGAGATGAAATGTTTTAGGTCTAATGTAGAAGAGAAAGGAGATAACCTCCACAGTTGTCCACAGGAGTCCGGTCCAAAACCATTCACTATTAGTGCCGACGGATAACCACAATCACAATGGCACTTGGTAACCTAACGCTCCAATGTGTTTAAAGTTGTTCAAAAAACTACTTGTTAGCTTTAATAAAATGATTTTAAAACCCAACAGAGGTTTGACTAAAAGGGTGATTTTTCAACCTCAGGCACTAATGTGCCCGCATCAGAAACATGCCTTTATTATTTTTCTACTTTGGGGTCTGTAAGATAACATTTTTCCCAGGATTCTTTGATGCAAAGTTCGAAAGAACAGCAATTTTTGTTCGTAACGTTATAAATGTCTTGTCATGTTTGATCAATGCAATGCATCGTTCCTGAAATAAGTATTAAAGGAAGCTAGGTAGCAAATTGTTTAATAATTTTTTTTTTGTTATACTGGTTGAAACTTTCTTCACATCCTGATATCAATAACAGAAGTGGTCTAAATATTAATGATATATGTACATATATCTTCGGTGGAAACCTCAGAAACAAACAAAAAAATTCATCTGATTATATGTTGTCCTTCCTGCCTGTAAACCAATGTATTTCCATACCTCCACGCACCCTGCTCGCGCAGACATCACACATCATCAGCTTGTTCCATGAGGCTATGCAGAGCTGTAGACAGTCACTGAGCGCCACAAAAAAGCAGCAACCGCCTTTTACAGTTCCTCTCAACCGAAACAAGGAGCTTATGCTGAGTTCACGCCATAACTACCGTAATTAAATGATGGCAACCCGTGACGTACCCTGAGCTAAGAGACCTGCACGTTCATGTCTTTTGTTGGAGGCCTGTCTTTGCAGAGCGCTCTGAAGGGAGGGTGGGATCTTTTGCTTTGTAAGGTAGCTTGCTATTGCTAGCCACTCCGAAATCACCTACCCTACCTTTAAAAAATTAATCTTACTGACCCCAAACTTCTGAACAGCATATGCACAAATGTGTGTGTCTGATTATGAGCCCAAATGTGATCTAAATGTGTCTCTTGCTCTAGTGCCCCACTTGCCAGACACTATCCTGAGCTGTTATCTGATAGACCATAAACGCAAAACACACAAACTGAGGTCTTACCAACGTAATGCTCCACATCGCTGACAGAGAAAGAAGGAGAGGGCAGTTTAAGGCCCAGTCCATCCAGGTCATGCACCACTATGGGGTAATGGAAGCCCTCCCTCTCCAGGAAGCGTTGGGTCACCTGACTCCCATGCATTGGCACCAGAACCTCATCCCCACTTTGGAACAGCCAAGACACACAAATCAATTGCAAGTCTTATCAGGTAGGTGCAAATTTGAAAGCCGAAACACATGTATTAATGATTGATTATGTCCTTAAAACACATGAGACGTCAAAGTAGGAAAGTTCAAAATCTAATCAAGAGGTGCTTGTACCTGAAAAAGCTCCTGGCCTGGAGTTCCTGTACAAACACAGCAGTTCCTGCCTGGATGGGGTGTGTGCCATCATTTGGCTCTGTGTAGTCATGCCTGTGCCAGTTGTTATGCTTTTTCACTGAGAAAAAGAAATAAATATGGATAAGACTGATCCTTGGACACAACAAAAGCAATAAAGAAACATGTGTACATGCACACACTTACTCATGGAGGGTCCGTGGATGGGCTCACAGTTGGGACAGTGATAAACATCGATATCAGCAGCATGGTGCTCCACTACCTGAACACAACTGAAAAAGGAAAGCAAGATAAAGTACCCATAGAATTCTGCCACAACCACACATCTGAATGTTGCAGTAGCCACAAGCAAATAACAGAAACAAGTCTAAATCTTAAACATTTAAACTTGTGTTTATAAACATTAGCATTGCTCTAATTTGAATATTACAAGTTTCTTCTCTTTGGACGAGAACTCAATGACCCATTCAACACACTAGGCTAACACAATGACACAAAAGTAATATTTAGTTATTAAAGGTAAAATCTACAATGAAACAGCATAAACAATTTTTTTTTTTATGATGCAAATACAAGTGGTGCTTGGGCTGACATTTGAATTCTAGCCAATACTGATAATTATTTTAATTTTAAGAAAGAAAACTGAAAAATGGCTGATATTAAAATAAAAAAAAATAAAACACTTGAGACTAAAACTCAAAAGGACCTCCCCAGGTGTCTATAATATTTAAGTCCATCGAAAGGCTAATTTGCTTATGACGATATTAATATCAAAATGGTCAAATAAAAATAGTCTATAATATAGGCCCATCCATCAACCAAAACTTAGCAAGAAACACAATGAATTTCCAATATTACCACGTGAACATGGTATAATCAAAATGTATTTACAATTACAAATTAAACCAAAAACAACCACATTACTATAAAATGGGTCACCAATGCCACTCAAGGAATGGCTGTTAGCAGACCCTATGGGGTTTATGGTCCTACATGTCCAATGTGCCTTTTTCTAAACTCAGTCAATGCTGGTAATGTTCTATGTTGCATGGTACAATGGCGTAATCATCTGAACTTTTCAGGAAATGTTACAAATGTCAAAAATGTTTGACAGTTTACCATTGGATACATCAAACAAGGCAGTGTGCGCAGTCGGTACTACAATCAACAGAGCGTTGCGTCACAATTGTGGGATTTCCTCCACCATCCATGTCACTCAAACCGCACGCCAAGTCATGTTACCAAAAAAGCCAAACCACAACCGCAACCATAATGCTCAGCCACCCACACAAGCACACGTACCTAAGACTCATTTCAGAGTCATACTGCCAACCATGTGAAATCAGCTAGCAGAGTTTTGACAGTCCAGCGGCAAGAGATTTACTGGTGCCGAGACAACTGGGGCACACAAGAGTGCTAACACTCACACAGACGTGTTTACTGACACCTAGTCTGATACATACTCTACTTTGCCTGTAGCTTATATATATATATTAGCGACTTTTTAGTCACGCAAGAACACTACAACTGTCTCAACTAAATGTGGGAAATGGCTGTGATGTCCAATAAACGGTTGCATGACAAATCACCTATTAAATCTGTTACAAATCATAAATTCAGCCTCTTCAGCTGAGTACAACAACCCTGATATCTTTCAAATTGGCCCAGAAACAGCACAAAAGCATTATACGCAAAAGGGATTTCTTTTATACAGCCAAAATATTGAGCAACGCAAATTCTGCACTTGCAGTCTTGGGGCCTTCGCTCACATATGTCTGTTAAGTCTTCAAAACGATAGGCTGTCCCATTTATTGATTTACGATTCAGAAGAGTGCACATGGGCGGCCGGCAACTAGCCTATGCTCCGTTGTATGCTTTTGCTGCGGCCACATGTGCATACTTCAAAGCGGACAACTACCCATAAGTGTATGAGGCATTTTGTCACATATATCCTGTCCCTGTCTAGTGGTCGACCGATATATTGCCAAGGCCGGTATATCGGACGATATTTGGAATTTTTCGTATAGACCTTATTCGCAAACACCGGAAGTAGCTAGCTAACCGCGGCCATATTGTTGACATGACATCTGTCCTGCTGCCCCTAGCCGCGCACAGATTTGAGTTGAGGGGAGCAGTAGCCTGGCTTCATCTCGTCGGTATCAAGAGAAGATAAGCTTGATTGGTGTGGACCCACATCAAATAATAGCATTAAGTAAAGATCCATCCTTATTCCCAGCCGTAACTTCCCATCTCGTTCATACAGTATCCGTATACGAACTACAATTTACCTCAACAAGGCAACATAATGAACGGCACTCGTCTCATTCGTGGAGGTGGAAAAACAAGTTCTTTGTGACATGCAAGATTTGTTGTATTAAAATGTAAATGCAAAAGAAAAGGCATGAGAGTCGGCCAATTTTAAGTTTTCATTTAAAATGTTTGCGATTTTAATATAAGTACATGGTTGTTACATTTTTGACCACTTGCTTGAGCAACTTAATATATAGAAGTAATGCATGGAATAATTGGCTTACGTTGTTGAAATAGTAAGTATGTGTTAAAATAAAAATAGTGAGTACCGGGGTGTTTGTGGTACAGCCGCGGATCAGTTACGCACTGCATACGCAGCATATAAACTATTGTGCGTCCTGCTTCTGTACCGTATACGCACTGCACACGCATTGCACACGGATTATGTGTGAAACCTGTGGTAAAATGATGGGAACAGACTTTTCTGTGGGGGGTTGGCTGAAAGTTTAGCCTATTTATCCTAGCTAGCCTCTCCTGCGCTGGCTCAACTGTCTCCTTCCCTTCACGTTTTCTGACAGTCGGTAACTTATCGCAATCATAAAAACTAACTCCGGGGTTCTTATTGCTGTTGTTAGAACAGCCGTGTATTACACAACACACCATCACGCTGTTTAAAAAAAAAAAAATACAGTGATAATACCATGGATAATACAGACGCTGCCTCGCTTGTCAATTGACAGATTGACAGTTGCCGTGGTTTCTATGTCAACAATATGGCCGCCGCAAACATTGATGACGCAGATCGAATAACATCTATTGGCCGATGTGTCAGAAGTGGGACTTTTATTTTGACGGCATGTCAGACTTTTATTTTGACAGGCGGTACTGGGAAGTACATAGCGCTCACATTCTCAGTCTTAGTTAGTTCAGAAGTGGGACTTTTATTTTGACGGCATGTCAGACTTTTATTTTGACAGGCGGCACTGGGAAGTACATAGCGCTCACATTCTCAGTCTTAGTTAGGACTCTGTTTAACAGTTTTGTCTAATACTTTATCAAATAGACCTGTTAAACAAAAATTAATCGATATGCGCAAAAGTATACTGTTTGCGTTTATATTATTAGTTAGAGGACAAACACGATTATATTTTCTCATTTACCATCGGCATTCAGCAAATAGGCATAAAATTTAAACAAATCTTTTAATATGTAATAAATATTTAATATCACAAACCTTGCAGACTAAGTTGAATCCAGCTGTAAGATACTCTGAAGTGCGCATTTGTAGCCTGCATGAACGTGTTACTCTGTGCGTGACGGTCAGTGCAGCTTCACTGGAGACGCACAATCCACAAACTTTAAATCCTTGATTTTAAAATATGCTGCGCTATATTCAGTTGCCCATTATGTCATGCGATTTTCACTCTGTGGTGTATGTAAAATTAGTGTTACCATGTCTTTATTTGAAAAAATATGATTACCAGTGAGCACAAACTTACCAGATTACTGAGTAACCCGTTACAGTTTATTTCCATTTTATTCTTATATTTTTAAACAATTAATTTATTTGTGATTGCAATCAAGAATTTGCCACCTAAAGTATAAGTACAGTATGTTTATTTTAAAGATTTATTTTCATATTTATTTATAATTTCTTAAATATTAATTCAAATAAGTATAGGCTAAATGATATTTATTATATATCGGCCAACCTGCTCTCTAAGATATCAGCATCAGCAAAAAAACAGTATCGATCGACCGCTATCCCTGTCCCAAATGGTGACTTAATACTGTATCCCAGCAGTCAGATAGTAGTACTGGAATACCACCCTTCCAAGATCTTACATGAGAATTGGGACACCATTCGACCTCATGGACTTCAAGTGGTCATTGCAAGTCTGTACATCAAGTACCCTATTTGGGACAGAGATTTGGGACAGAGCCTCTGATAGACGCTAGCAATGAAGAAGCTGTACATGGACCCCTTATGTTCTGCAGATTGCTGGATGTTGTTGCAATCATGCATTTCAAAAGTGGTTTTAATTCCTATTTGAGTTGAATGAGTGAATGATGCCGTAAACGCTTTGGCTCTCTCTACCGTCAGAATAGAGTTAACATCAAGAGTGGATACTGTGCTATATGGGGCTGTTAAAATCAGCAGGGGACCTTCAGCAGAAAGGTGATTCTTCTCAAAGAAAAGACAGCCTTTGAACACATGCAAAGGACTGAGTGTTTCTGTCTAAGCTTTGATCTCATTATTGCAGGAAACTTGTAAGGCCCTGTTTACACGAAAACGATTCCGGGTGAAAACGTAATAATATTTTATCGGATGTGCCTTTCGTTTACACGGCGACGGCGTTTTTGGGGCTTAAAAACGCAAAAAAGTGAAACCACCCTCCAAAGTGGAAATCTTAAAAACGCTCCACCGTCGCGTTTCCGTCTAAACGGGTAAAAACGCAAATCTGCTCATGGCGGCTCTTGTCGCGTACGCATTTACGTCACAGACATGCACCAGTACAGGAAAATAACAACCAACATGTCGGATTATTTCCATACGTCGGACCTTCAAGTTGCCCTAGCAGCTCTAATAAACGTCCAAGAGTCTTTTCAATTTCCATAGACAGTATAAGAAATGGACAGAGCGATCTCATTGGAACTCAGTTGAGACAGTTGAAGCCCATTTTTAGCGATTTCTGAGCACTTCCGTTCCTGACGCGCAGACTCAAACCGACTCAAACTAAGCTTGATGACGTGAGCAACCTGTCTGACAGACGTGAATCTTCTAGTAGCGGTGCCAAGAGGAATCTGAATCATTCCCTTCCGAAACTTGCAGAGCCGGAGATCGTGAGTATTAGCTGTCCATGAGCTTGCAGCAGGAGCAGCTTTACAACTCTCTATGGGCTTCTCCCTTGACTTTATGCCTCGACGTCCCCCCGATTGCGCGCGAGTTTCTACTTCTGTCTATACGGTAATTTTCTCTAGTGTGCGCCGGAGAGTCGCGTGTTATGACGCAATCGTTAGC